TCAGTCGATGATCTTATAAGTCTGGTCCGTTGAATGTGATTGGTCAGTTTAGCCATGATGGTATTGGCTGAAAGACTGGTGTAAAGTTTGTCATCAGTCATTGGTGGGTTTCGATCCGTCTTTTGTTAGTCAAATTGGTTGGTTTTTGGTCCGTCTATTGTTAGTCAAATTAAGTTGGTCTGTTGGTAGTCCGTTTGTCGGTTTTGTTTCTGTCATGGATAAATCGTTTGTAAGGCGGCCGTAGTTGTTGACAACAACAGATGCCAACAACTACCGGCGCCTTACAAACGACTTATCCATGATGAAAATGAAACCGACAAAAAAAAGATACATATATAACAATTAAAGGTGAGAATGGTATATAGTTTGTGCATGGAGGCTAATAGAACCGCGAGGTTATCAAGTTAGCCTCCATCTCATTTAAATGAACATAAAATAACATGGGAGTAGAAGGATGGATTACTAATGGATTCACTTGTTTTTTATGCTAATATTGTAATTTCAAAATGTAAGTGCAAAATAAAGTGAAGTTGAAGTTGAAGTTGGAAAGAAAACAGGCTGGAAATTTCAGATCTGTCCTCATTGCTGGTTGTTTTTCATTTTTATTTTTTAAAACAGAAATAAAAATCAAAGTGGTAGAACACAGCTTTGTACAGTAGCTCCATGGCCCAAATATTCTATTTACGACAATTACATGTATGTGGTAACATTATCTTCGCTTCCTCATGTGTGCCTTCCATCTCTTTGAATACGGCAATTTTTTCCACTTTTTACTTCTTTTTTTTGGTCTAAAATCTGTAGATGATAAAATAAACAAAATCAAAATGCAACATCCATGAACGCTTTGCCAGAATGAGGTAAATAATATGCTTTTTGATGTATTCAATAATGAGTCAACCAATTACTTTATTTAAGTGTCAGAATATATAGCGGAGGGTAAGGACCTCTACTAATTATACAGCTGCCGGTGACTTTCTCAATAGGACAAGAACATATTGCTTGCATAACAACCCAAAGAATATGAAACTGAGGAACTTCTGAGGGAGACAAAGATCTAAACACTAGACTAGTAGAAGTGGTGAACCTAGTCTAGCACCCCCTCCTGAGGAACCGTTACTGAGAAGTACAAGCTAAGTATGGTAAATGTGTGTGTACATCCCACTGATCACAATGGTGTTAAAATAATGTTGGGAAGAGGTTGCAAGGTCTCACAAAGCACTTCACATAGGTTTCCACGAGAAACAGTGATTCTTGTGTCCCTCTCATTCTCTAACTTTGTTTTGGCCTCACCTCAAGAAATACTTACTGGAAGTCTCCAATTCCCTTTTACTAACTGAAGGAAGGGAAGTAAACTACAGGTATCAAAAGCACTTTGATAGGGCTTTCATATATAATTTTGGACCAAGTCTTATTTGCTGCAACGATTATCCTAGCAAGTCAGCAAAGGCTTGTTAAGGGAATAAAACAATTACAGCCCCCAATTGCTTCCAAGTACTCTTCTAAATCCCATTAATTGGGCACTTAAATTATACATTGTGTTGTTCTAGATTAAATATCCATACACCACGCATGGAAGATTATTTTAGGTTTGAGCTCCTCCCCCACCTCCCCATCCCACTGGATATTGCTTTAAAAGTTTTGGCTTTTGAGACTCCCTTCCATTAGAATTTCCAATAACCCTCCTTGGGGTGGGTATATGGATATTTTCCAGAACCACACATTGGCTCTAGAATGTCTTGATTTACCTAGATAAAATGTTTCTGGTGGTATAACTTTCTTGGGTTCACTGAGTATGACTCCTCCTTCCTTGAGAGCTTCGGAGAATGCCTTGGTCTGAATGAAGGGAAGCCACAAGAGTATAGTAATTCAAAATGTAACAACATTTTCCCCTAAAATCTTAACTTCTTGTGTTAATTGTGAAACTGAATGATACATGCAGGGCTGTGCCCTAGATGCTTGCACACATATACCATAGGCAACTAACTTTTCCCTTTGGATGATTGGAAAAAGTTACTTTTCTCATACAAGCTTAAGTGCTGGACACCCAATATTTCATGGTTAGGAACCTTTTGCTCCTTGTAATTTTTGTTAGACCACAGCCTTGACATGGACTCAAGTAGTAACTGTCCAACAGTTGAACTTTACACTGTTGTGAATCACAATAGCAACAGACTCTTGAGGATTGATATGGTTTACATGTATGATTTTCACATATTTCTCAGCAGATATGATTTTCAAGACAAAAAGCTATGTCATTTTGGTTGTCCAACATAGTATTCAATCATACTGTAAAAATTAGTCAGACAATGTCTGATAGCTGACTACTACACTGAGATAAACATTACCCTTTGCTTCCGCAAGTCTCCTTTTTGAACTTCCCAGCGAACCCGTGTGATCCCTGCCTCAAGGCATCTCTGCGCCATCACTCTACCAACATTCAAAGCAGCAGTGACATCTGTAGTTTTGTAAAGATGTTTTGTGATTTCAAATTCTGTGGTGGATGCCGAGACAAGGACAACTCCGCTGTTGTGAATTACTTGAGCTCTTGTGTGCCGGTTTGTTATTAAAAACTTGAGTCTGCATGTTAAATTAAAAAATAGAAACATTAAACAGAACTGTGGTTGCACAAGTATAAGGGCATAAAAAAAACCTCTGAAAGCAAGCCCCTTTAAATATAAGTCTTAGGGTTACATCAATACTTGGCTTGTACAAAACCAGATCATTCTGTACCTACATAAGCGGCGGGATGGGTTGGTGGGGGGGGGG